CCGGACCCCGAGAGCTCCGAGTGTCCTACAGGACCCAGCTGCATAGGCTCTGTGTGTGAAAGGGTCGGAGCATAAACGGGCAGGAAGTTTTAAAGAGAAGGTGGAGTGGAATAGCTACCTACTGGTGTTGCTGGAGCTGGAAGGCCTTCCCAGAGGGGCCAGCACCTTGATTTTGATGGCTAGTTAGGTCCGTGCTGAGCCCCCAGGACTTTTTAATTGATACAGTAGTAGGCAGGACTTCCTTTATCAAAATTTCGACGTCTCGTGAAGCCCTATTTTTTTTTTTTTCATGATCTGTCAAATACACGCCAAGCTCTTGTAAGACAAAGATGGCAGACGGGTGACGCAGAAAAAGCACCAGCGAGGCAGAGCTGTGCTGAAACCCTGCCTGTGCTGCCTCCCGGCCGGCCGGCCCGAGGCCCGTCACTCAGAGCCGCCGAGCCTCAGGGTGATGATGTGGAAAGCGGGGCTCCACCCCCCCCCCCCCGACTTCCAGGGTTGGGAGACATGAAAGATCCACATTCCCGGAATCGTCTACATGTATGTTCATACGTGACGCCGTTTGTATCTCTCCAGGGCCCGGCTTCCGGCCGCCTCTAGGCTTCAGGGAGTACCCACCGGGCGTCCCGCCGGGAAAACGGGATGTGCCTTTCGACCCTCGAGGATTTGTCCCGGGACACCCTCCCTTCCGGCCCGGCGGCTCTCCTGGCCCCCGACTCCCGCCCCCGGGCCACGGCCCCCCGGGGTACCCTCCCCCTCCTGCCAGAGACTCACTGCCTCCGGGGCCCCGGGAGGAGCCCCCTCCCGCCCCTCCGAGCGGCAGCCAGGGCTCCTCCCCGGCCTTGAAACAGAGCCCGTAACCCCGACCGACCGACCGACCGACCGACCGACCCGCCGCCCCGACAGGAAGTGGACTGTGCCCTCTCCGTGACAGTCTTAAACCCAGAAGTTGGAATAAAGTTAGTTTTTAGACCCGAGCTGCCCCCGGCAGTGTGCATTTTTGAGCCAAACAATGAAAAATACACCATTTCTCCCCTTCCATTAAGAATCACCTCGTTAAGCTACAGCCTCCTCCCAACCTTGAAATGTGCAATAAAGAATACCTGTGTTTTAGTTCACGTAGCCTATGTAACTGTTCAATGATTCAGAACGTCGTGAAAACTATGAACATTTCCTGTGGAAATGCTATAAGATCACGTGTTTCCATCTATTCTCCTGTTTTATAGTGGACACCGGTTGTACGCGGAGCAACGGTGTTTATAAGCTTGAATTTTTAAAGTATCTGGTCGCAAGGACTGTTACGCTCAAAATGTTTACTAAGAAATCACTGAACTGTATCTCCCCTCTTGCTGAAGATATTTCTTTGTAGTGGAAGTTCATTAAAATTTGGTTATTAATGTTTCCCAAGAGTCTGTGGATTCATTGGACTGTTTTCTCGCGAGACTTGCGCCACTTGGGGAAGATGGAAGCTCGGCGCCCTGTGGTTGAGCATTGACCTGTGACCCAGGAAGTCAAAGTGTAATTCCTGGGCAGGGCACATGCCCACTTTGAAGGCTCGATCTCCAGGGGGGGTTGGAGGGGGTGGGGGAGGCAGCTGATCGGTGATTCTCTCATCATTGATGTTTCTATCTCTCTCTCCCTTCTTCTCTGAAATGGTTATTTTTTAAAAGGGTGCACAATAGAAAAAAGAAAGCAATGTCTTATGACCATAAAAGGAAATGTCCTTTGTTTAAAAAAAATTAAAGTTTATTATTTCTCCCATACCTTGCCTATGGTTTTCAATGACTATACAAAAACCATCAGAAGAGTAGAATACCATGAGAAAGAATGACTTAAGATTTAAGGCTTGTAACATGCCCGAGGTCAGCAACCATGGGCTGACCTCAGTTCTTTTTGTTGACTGATTCTATCTACTTCACAGTTAATATTTGAATGTTGGCATTTGTATTTAAAAATCAGTATATCTGTAAGAATTTGGGATTACACCATACTCAAAAAGAACTCTTACAATACTTTTTATTTTAAATTTTAATTTTTTATTGGAATTTTAGAGAAAGGGAGAAGAGGAAAGAGAGAGAAAGAGTGAGAAAGAAAGAGAGAGAGAAACATTGATGTGAGAAACAGATCGGTTACCTCTCATTCATAACCCGACCAGGAATCGAACCTGCCACTTTTCAGTGATGCTCCAACCAACAGAGCTACACCAGCCAGGGCTACCCCATGGTTTTAAAACAATGTTTCTTAAGAACTAACTCTTTAAAACCATTCAATTATAGTAACTTAATAGTATGTTTTAATAAGTAAATTTAGATTCAATCAAAATGGTAACAAGCTGATATCCCAGTTAACTTTTTGACTATACTCTCCCATTCTCGGAAGGTCTATGATAGAATATTACCTGCACCAGGGCCTGTCATTGTTATGGCATTTACTCCACTGAGCACACCCTATGACAGAAGCAAAAGCCTCTGAAACCAAAGCTTCCTTTATATGAAACCACTAACACATCTACCACTCAAGAAAGATAAGGACCTTTGAAAGAAGGCAACCCTTTCAAGATTCATAAGTAACATGACTTCAGCAAAAGAATTCCATCAATAGGTCCTCCCATTTAATATCAAGAGTAGAACAAATTTGCCGGGACCGGTTTGGCTCAGTGGATAGAGCGTTGGCCTGTGGACTGAAAGGTCCCGGGTTCGATTCCGGGCAAGGGCATGTACCTTGGTGGCGGGCACATCTCCAGTTGGGGGTGTGTGCAAGAGGCAGCTGATCGATGATTCTCTCATCGATGTTTCTAACTCTCTATCCCTCTTTCTTCCTCTCTGTGAAAAATCAATAAAATATATTTTTTTTTAAAAAAGAGAAGAACAAATTTGATAAGAACTCCATAGTCAAGAGCAAAAATTATTTTTTTAACCATTGTAAAATAAGAGCAAATCACAAATATAACTTTTGAATATTTCAATCTCTTTTAGGACATAAAATAATGGTGAAATTAATATAATTTCTATTTTTAAATAGCATTTAAGTGTAGATTATTCCAACTAGGAAGATAATCAAGTAAGGAAGGTAAATTAAACCTATTCTTTAAAATTGATTTCAGAGAGGAAAGGAGAGAGAGAAATATCAATGATGAGAATCACCGATCAGCTGCCTTCTGTACGCCCCCTATTGTGGATCAAGCCCACAACCTGGGCATGTGCCCTTGACTGGAATCGAACCCGGGATCCTTCAGTCTGCAGGCGGACGCTCTATCCACTGAGCCAAACCGGCCAGGGCAATTAAACCTATTTTTAAATCAATCAGAGCTGGAGTCCTTTTGTGCCCCTAAAGCTGTAGAGCACATGTGTCAAACACAAGGCCCGCGGGCCAAATCCGTCCCGCCAGGCCTTGCAATGTGGCCCGCACCGCGCTGTCATCACTGCACTCCGCTGCATTTCCATCACAATGACAGTTTATGACTGTTCAGTAAACCATTCGGCCCGCGATTTAGGCTGGATTTTAGATTTTGGCCCCTTCTCTGATTGAGTTCGACACCCCTACTAGAGAATTCCCGACCTGAGCACCTTTGCCCCTACAGGATGCTGCCTCTCAGCCCTCTGGTGGCATCGCTGTGGCAGTGGAGCCAGGCAGCTGCCAATATCCAGAAGGCAGGGGACCACCCCTCAGGGTGTCACACTGGCCATCTCCAGTTGTCCTGTTTCCGGGCGTGGTTTTTGAAATCCTCTCCTTTATGTAGCCACATAACATTTCTACAGTTGTGGTTACTCTTCAATGGCTGATTTTTTTTTTTTCTCATTTGAAAGTAAATTTAATTAATTTACTGTGGGATGTGGAGTATTCTGTGTCTACTGCTTCAAGACAATCACGTGCTTTGTAATTTCATTCCTTTCTGAATGAAAGCTAAGCTACTCACACAGTGTTCAATGAAGCTTCTTTAATACTGTTGAAAGGCATGGTGGAGTTCATATAAAACACACTTAGTGAACAGTAGCAGATGCGTCATATAAATTACCACTTTGCTATACATGTCTTACGGTCTATGAGAAAAGAGAAAGAACAATATGTCAGTTTTGCTACATTTTAATAGTAGGTGTTTTGAGGGAGGATTTTTTTATGTCTTGTTAAGGTCCTGAGTCCCTCGGGGTACAGAGCCCTGCCCCCCTCAGTTCACATGACGCGGACAAAGTGTGGTTCTTGCCCCTGGAGGAGCTTACAGTCTGGGGGGGTGGGGGGGGGCTGACAACTCACAGTCTGAGAGCTGAGCGAACAACGAAGTTAGTTAAGGCAATTCCTCATCCCCTCCAGCAATTGTGGACGGAACCATTTTGAAACGAATGTGATCACAAGATGAGAGAGCGGACTGAATCCGGCTGAGAATTCTTTCAGGCTCCTAAGGTTTCTGACATCCATCTCAGTCAACGGAGCTGACCCAACGGACAACGGAAAGACTGGATCTCTTCAAATGCAAGGGACAACTTAACGGTGGTTACTTATTTTAAAAAGCAAACATACTGACCAGTATGACAGGTTATTACACTAGTTTAAAAACAGGCCCAGGACTGCACCCCGTCCCCTCTTGCCAGCACTGGTCATTGCAAGTAGTGCTATGTATGAAATATGTGGGCTCTGCATCTAACCCCCAGAAAGCCCACCCCGATTTAATGTTCTGTGCATCAAACAGGCGCCTCGTGTATACTATGAAAGTTTTATTTATGCCCCGTTAAATCAAAAATAATGTAAATAGTCAAATTATAACAAGCTCATGACCTGCATATTTCCATATGGATGAATGGTGATATATCTAAACAGGAAATAAATGGCAATCCTATCTACCTATGTAAAAAAAAAAAAAAAAAAAAAAAAAAATAGGTTATCTCCAAATTTCGCATACTCAATGCTATAAGAGGTATGCTGGTTTCCAGGTTTCACAATCAGTTGTCAGAAAAATAGCAGTCATTCCTGCAGTTATCTCCTTAGCATCTGACTCAAATTATTTGTAGATTACATGATCTAGAAGACATTATTAACCCATCTAAATATTGGCAATTATTCTGAGATGGTTCCGCGTTAACCCTAGAATCATGATCAGAGAGAAAAACAATGTGATATGGAAGAACAGCGAATCAACATGACAAAACATATGCTCACTTTCCGAAACACTCTTGTCATCGGGAGAAATCACAGCAACAACCTGGGAACGTTCCCGTAAGGATACTGATCCGGCCAAGGCACACTCCGAGCAGGAGAAGGATGAGATCAGGTGAGCTCAGGCCACCTCACGGAGCAGCCTAGTAGTTTCCTTCTTGGACAGACTACCTGGTCCAAACGCTCCAGAGCAGTTTCGTACGATCCTACCCACATCGGCCCAAAGTCTGACGTTCGTTCCAAACACCCAGAGAGCGTGGTGGAGCGGAAGGGACAGACGTGTAAACTCGAGTACATTCTTATTGCTGTAGTAAGTCTGAAGATGAGCACACCCTACCCACAACAGTGTTTTTCCAGGAAGCAGGGCAGTAGTGGTCGATTAGAAAAGAGGATATGAACTGCACAATCAATAGAAAAGTAAAAACAGGTTTCAAAACCTACAATAAGCCTGTATCCAAAAGAGTCTTACATGTCAGTGATGTGCTAGACGTGGGTTCTGTGCTACAGCTTTGCAGCGGGCTCCCTCTGGCCCACGGGCCCGGCGCGGCCTGCCTGCTGGCCTCCTGAAGGGAGAGATTCTACAGAGCTGGTAGTGAGTGGCACAATTCACAGAAGGTCCAGGGTATTCGTGTCAGGGTCGCTCCTTGTGCAAAGTTTGATGTAGATGGAGATAAAGTGGTTTCTTGGTCAATAATTGCAATTTCTTTCTTTTAAAATCAGTGGGTTTCTTGTATCTGTAACCACAACAGAAAAGCCACTGTTTAACATACTTTGATAATCCATCTATTCCAAGGTCACATACTAAGAAGAAATAGTAGCCACCGTTCCGTCATACTAACTCCATACGCGCATCACTTACAGTTCTATTACAATGGGCCCGGGTTTAATCTCATCCATCTCCATGAAAGCGAAACACTTGGTGCTGGTAAACCTTTTCTTAGGCTTGTAGTGTTTGAATTCAAAGAAGATAGCTGCACCTACGGATGGAAAAAAGCATTAGCCATGGGCGGGCAGCACCATTCTCGTCAATGCATTTCCTTTGATTACCAGGAGCATATGAACAAGAATATAAACAACTGGCATAATTTTATAGGGTAACCTCTGTTACATGGTCTGATGGTATGCCTGTGGCTGTCACTCCAAACTCTAGCAAAACTTCTGAGCCAGACTGAAGGAGGAACGCCCCGGGAAATGAGAATAGGCCAGGAAGATGAGCTGACATGCTTGTTAGCGTGAAGTACAGCATATTTGTTAGTTTTTAAAAAAATATATATTTTATTGATTTTCCACAGAGAGGAAGGTAGAGGGATAGAGAGCTAGAAACATCGATGAGAGAGAAACATATAATAGATCAGCTGCCTCCTGCACACCCCCTACTGGGAATGTGCCCACAACCAAGGCACATGCCCTTGACCGGAATCGAACCTGGGACTCTTTAGTCCGCAGACCCGACGCTCTATCCACTGAGCCAAACCGGTTTTGGCATGTAACTTCACCTTTTTAATAATTTGCTTTTGTCTTTTCCCATCCTCCTGCCAACTAACGCAAACGATAGTCTTGTCTGCCCAATAAATTCCGCTGGAAAAGAATGTTTCTTTCAGCGACCAGAGACTTAATCTTCAGGAGCCCTGCTTCCACAGCTCTTCGGTGAGAAAGCTTTCATTCTATTTGTTGTTAAAGATGAGATTTTATTATGGAAGACTGCTTTGTTATATGTTATTTATTATGCAACTAGAGAACACCGTTCCCGATTCCCACATTTAAATATAAACGAGTATTTCATTCAATTCCAGAAACACTACGTGACATTCCCTTTTTCCAACGCTGCTACATCCACCAGGCCCGCTGACATGACCACGATGAGAACTCTGATGATTACACACCTTTGGTTAATTTTTCAACGTGCTTCTGGAGCTCAATGTCCACGTTAAAGTGAACGTACGTATCTTCTTTCCGTGAAGCCACAGGGGTATCTTGCACAGGAGTTAAATCTATGCCGTTCAGATCTGGAAAGGAAGAGTTTCTGCTCAGCGGCCTTCAAATGCACAGAGGAGCCCCGGCGTTATGTTTCCTAGAGCAGACTCCCAATTAGCGGAGCTCCCAGATGGTGTGGGCGGCCACCAGAGGAAGACCTGTGATGTCCAGAGGTATGTGGAGGGAGCTGGGGGGGAGTGGGAGAGGGAGGGAAGGGAACCTCAGGGACCAGCAGAGAAAGCCTTGCCATATGACTGGCTATCTAAGGATCCTATAGTTCAGAGGTGATCCTATAGGTCAGAGGTGGAGAGAGCATCGTGTCTTCCCCCGGGGAACAAGCCATCATATTCCTGAGTGCAATAAAACTTTGCGATGTGAATAACACCCCTACTTCCCACCCGGATCAAGTGCATGGGCCGGGAAGGCCTGTGAACTGACCACCATCAGAATCCCCGTTACATTCAAGTGGGTGGACCAATCGGACATGGAACCTGCCAATGAAACCTCTGCATACGTGAATGCTTTTGCATGCATGTGACCTACATTCTGGTCCCCTTTGCTTGTAACATAACCTGATTTACAACAGCCAGATGGTGCACTGTGTATGGAGTATGGTTTTCATTTCCTGGAGCCGAGAATCTTCCAGTTTAATCAAATGCAACGGGGACTCACTTAATGACTCCTCGGTGTTCTACTCCACAGGCCCATCTTAGGGGACTAAAAACGATTTAGCACATTTAATTATCTCAGTTCCCAAAGATATGTACACAAAAACATATTTCAGTCCAGCGTGTATGCAAAGGAAACGTAATACCTATCACGTTATCATGACATTGTGTGTTTCACAGTGTATTTTCCCAAATGAGACATGCAGCTCTGCTGAGGACTTATAAAACAAGGTCGGGTACAAATGCTTTCCAGTCGACCATGAACTTGGTAACTGCACATCAGGAGATAAAGTAGCACAGCACTAGTGCTGTGGATCGTGGTTTCTGCATGTTAGAATTTTCCGTGGTGGCCAAATTCCTTTTTCTTTTATTTGGTACTAATGAACCCACATGGGTCTGAATTTATTCCTGTCATTGGGGAGAGTTCCATTTCTTTTCAGTCCATATCTGTTTCATTGATTTGCCTCAAACTGCAGATGAACTGTGGATTGGATGAACTGTGTTGTCATTTTTGAATAATAGTATAACTTCCTTCTCAATCACTCAATAATTATTTTTAAGAGGCCACTGGGTGCTTTACAGTCAAGTTCTGTATAAACGCTTGGTGATGCAACAAAAGAACTCAACTGCTGTAGCTTCCCTCTGAAACCAAAGACAGAAAAAACTGTTTTCAAGGAATCAATCATCGGATAGTACACACACACACAAAAAAAAATTCTAAGACTAACCATGTTTAATAACCTTGGTAACATAGATCAGGACAAGAAACACACCACTTTTTAGCGTCCCACAGGACTGAGTTCTGGGTGTGGATGTTTACGGATATGTCCTATTTCCCTTCTCCACGGATGATTCATCGACGCCCTCACTCTCGCCCACCTGGGCCCGGCTCTCCCTGTAAAGGCTCCCCTGGACAGGAAGGAGAGGGCCTCAAGGAGGCCCGAGGGGACAGGAGAGCTCGGCTGTGCAAAGGGGACCACACACTCAAGGGAGGTGGGGACATTTTTTAAACCTTTTTCCTGAAAGATGTCTTTGCTGTGAAGACAGCATATGTCTAGGCAGCACCCTTGATGGAATTTGAAGAATAAAAGATATAAGAAAAAATAAATAAAACTGAAAGACAAACATGAGTGTAAGTTATAATAGGAAAATGCTTTTAGTAAATCTCTCAGAAATGTGCAGAGAAGGAATGATGCCCTCTTCTCAGGGATCTCGCCTCCCTGTAGAATGAATGAAAAATGAGCTGTCACAGACACGAGAGTCCCCCCGCCCCCATTTATCCCAATGAGAAAGACCATTTTATAAAACTGGCCAGAATGAAAGCATGCAGACACAGTTATTTACCCTTCACACTGACTGTGATATAGGGATCAATGCACTGGCCGGCATCTTTCAGCCCGATCTTCTCAATCCTGATCGTTAGTAACGTCATTCCTGGTTCTGACGGCAACCTTGGTAATAAAGTACCTGGTAACAGAGAGACGGTAATAAAAACGAGCTGCACTGGAAATGTCAGAGTAAATATTTTACGTTATTTGCTTTCTACCCACGCCCCCACCTCCGGATTCAGGTTTAATAACCACAATGTAATTAATTAAACAAGCACATGACAGTGCACAGGAGAGTTAACAGAGCAGGACCGAGACAGTCACTCTGGGAAAGGCCTGCTTGCAAGGTCAGCCATGGGCATGTGTCTGTGAACTTGGACTTGGTTCCCAAGTCCCCTGATAAGAACAGCCACTGTCCTCAGCCGTCTGGGCAAACAATGCGGTCTCTGCTGAGTACTTGCTTTCCTCTAGGCCCATGGTCAGCAAACTGCGGCTCGAGAGCCACATGCGGCTCTTTGGCCCCTTGAGTATGGCTCTTCCACAAAATACCACGGCCTGGGCGAGTCTATGATGAAGAAGTGGCGTTAGAAGAAGTTGAAGTTTAAAAACTGTGGCTCTCCAAAGAAATGTCAATCGTTGTGCTGTTGATATTTGGCTCTGTGGACTCATGAGTTTGCCGACCACTGGGCTAGGAGAAGGGATTTCGGCTAGTGCCCGGCAGAGGGTGGCTATAGGACTGGCCCCCATATCAGCTCGGGCACTGAGTCCCCACTGTGCTTCCCGACAGAAGCCATCTCCGTGTGCTGCTCCCATTCATCGCTGGGGAATTAATTACGTGACTCTATAGGGGGGACTCCCGGAAGCTCGCCCATCTTTTCCCTTTGCTGGTTCTGTTCTTGTATTTTTCTCTCTGCCGTACATTATAGCTGTGAGTACAACTATATGCTCAGTCCTCCTAGCGAATTACCAAGCTGGAGGGCAGTCTTGGGAGCCCCGACACAGTAAGGTACTTTGAGACCACACTTCTAAAATAGCTACTGCCAATAACTTGGCCATCAATGTTTGCTTCAGACTGACACGGGCTCTGGAGATGTCTTACTCCCACTGGCGAGGACAAAGTCAGTTCCACACACCCTGACCTGGCATTATGTCATGACTATTTGATAACAAAGACACCCACCGGGAACTCTAGCAGGTAAGGAATCAGGAGACCCCGCTCCAGCACCGCCCTCCTCTTCATCTTCTTCAAATTCCAGATTCTCCTCTTCACCGGGTGCTAAAATTCTTCTACATGCAAAAGGGCAGACATACAATGAGCTCCAAAACCACATATTCCAGGGAAGCCTGCCAGCTGCTCACTTCCCAGGTAAGATGCTGATATGAACGATGTTGACAAAAAAACAGTTGTAAAATAAGAAAACAAATATCGGTGGGTATTTACTCTACCTTAAAGGGACAGGCTGGACGTCAAATGGGAACTCTTTATTATAGGTAAGAATATTCTTTAGGACTAGAATAAAAAGAGAAAGGAACATAAATTCTTCTACGAATCAAATTTAAAATTTTGCCACAAATGACTGTTTTTAATCAATTTTCTCTGCATAGTAAACATTTTTGAAGATTGCCCATCTTATCATGTATTTGTCCATGGACTTACAGCTCTTAGCAAATGGAAATATCCGTAGAATGCTTCAGCCACTGATAATTTCAAAGTTCTGTCAGCTCTCTAAGGAAGAGGATGAGTTCCAGAGCCTCAAAGCCCTCATGGAAAACAAATCCCCAAATAGTTCTATGTATAAATTCCCAGGTGAGACATGGGAACAGACAAGCAATGCCTCCTTCCTGGAGTACGACATTTAAAGACTGACATCAGAGGTGCATGAACATATCTTATTCTATGTCCTGATTAGATTTCCCTTCAACTACATAAAACTGGTAAAATTTGGTAAATCCAGTTATAATTTTCATATATAAAGTTTACTGTATACACACACGTTTTATACACATACATATAAACATTATCACTTATGATAAAGGTTATTATATACATACATACATATACATAACATACATGCACACAAACATAAAGAAAGACTTATCCTCATGGGAAGTTTGAAACCACACCCTATGGCACCACCTCCTGGACTATGGCTGTGCTCCATGACTGTTCTGGCATGGAAACTTACAGAGCGGAGGTCTACTCTTCTGCCTATGTTAGAGAGGTGCTATAAGTATGTGCTTCATGTCTAGCCTTATGGGTCTCCAGTCATTACCTGCAGTTATACGAAAGTGAAGTAATGGCATTAACTGAGAAATCAAAAAAGTTCCCAGGATTTTACATTCATCCTATTCAGCCTAACTTTGGAGTCCTGCAGCTTAACGCTAAAATAGGTATGGTGTGCTGTCATCTCAAAGGAGGAAATCCAGTGCGGACTGCAATTATATGACTTCCACAGGAGTGAGATGTGTTTACCGGACTTCTTAGAGCACCCCTACTCAGTCCTTCAGTGAGAGAGAAATCTGAGACTGTGTCTAGATTCTCATTCATTCTTATTCTTTCTTTCCCTCCAGCTCTTACCCTTATCCTTCCTCTCACTTTCTTCTCAACAAATGTGCCCTGAATGTCCAGAATGTCCCAGAATGTTCGAGATACTGCAGTGATCAAGACAGAGGGTTCTTGCTCTCACATACGGGTCTTAGGCCACAGGGAGGACAAGCAGACAATAGGTGAGCCAACAAGTTAACGAGTTAATGTAAGATTGTGCTTAGCGTGAGACAGGCCACAAACAGGAAGACGGTAAGAGTGGAGGAGGGGAAGGTGGACGAGGTAGGCCTTTCACAACTAACTTGTTAGAAGTGTGAGCTGTGACCTGGAATGAGAAGAACCGTCTCTAAGCACAAGGGACAATGGCTTTCCAAGTATAATATTAGAGAACGGGCGAGACAACAACAAAGGCTCTGAGGCAGGAACGAGTCGGACTTGTTCAAGGAATAGAACGGACTGTACAGCTGAGTTGGACAAGCAAAGGGGAAGTGGCAGAGATTTGAAATGTGATATGTTGATATTACTAAGGATTAACGTAAGAAAATTAAATGACTAGTGCTTTCAAGATCTTAGTTTTAGTATATTTCAGACAAGATTATCAAGAGATTTAAAAACCTTGAAGAAAAAAATACGTTAACAAAATAAAGCAGCCAAGTCCACGTATTGAAAGGTACAGTCGTTCATTAATTTTCCTTTTCTTAGTCTTAGAAGAGTCAGAGGCTAGGTTGACTAATCACTAACTTAAAACAGATCAAATACCAACTTGTAGAAAATGATTCTGATACAGTAATTAACTCACAAGTGCCTAGCTTTAATCAAATCAAAATGACAGAGCATATCCTGCTAAGATACAATATGCACGCTGATGCACCTTCGGAGGCAAGAGCAAAGTAAAGTCATCTCAAAAGCTAGTAAGTACCAAGGAGGGAGAAGTCCATATGAAAAGAACTATATAAATTAAAAATATAAGACAATGAATCCCAATAATGCTACCTTTCCTTTCCACTCCTACCCCTAATCTTAAAAAAATAAAAACAAACAAAAACACGAGCAGTAGAAGATGAAAGCAGATTTTAGTCCAATCTTCTAATATGTGTGTCAATAACCTCTCAGGAGCTTGAGCTGGAGAACTATGAGATGTAGGACTGATACTGGTACAGGTATAATATAGAGCGCAGGGGAGGAAACATATGCTTTGGGGCGACTTAGAACTCTGGTCAATGGCAAGTTCTGGAACAGCGTGGTGAAGGCTTGGTAAGGGTGGGTGCAGGTGGAGGGGATCAACGGGGGGAAAAACCTAGAATCAAATTTTTCATATTCTAAATGAAGGTAAACCAAATAAAAGTTATTATAAATACTATAGGAAGTATGAAAGCGTAAAAATATCACACAGGACAAAATAGTAACAGAAATAAATCAAATAAGCATCTATGCCTAATCATCTTAATATATCTAATGAATAATTTTTGAAAGAAGTATCACTGAAAAACTTACTTGGTTCTAGCTTCTTCAGATCCTCCAGTTTAAATTCTTCTTGGGACTGTGTGGACTGAATTCAAAATATGCATATTACATCTTTTCAATATAAAGATTTCAGTCTTTTAAGTGGCAAGAACTAAATAGTCCAAAAGTAGCCAAAATAAATGAATCTATTTCTGACTTTCAAAGTAGAAAAATGACAAGTCTGAAGAGGATTTTTGTTTGTTGTTGTATTTTGGAAACATTTAGACTAATAATAACAGGAAAAAAATTAAAGTTATATCTTTTATTTCTAGTTTATAAAAAATGAATATAAATATTTTCATATGAGCTTAACTCAGGAATTATTATTGCTATAAAACCCTCCTGAGACAATACTGCTCTTAGCAGGCATGCCTAATGTTTCATTAGAATAGTTCATAATAATTTCTTTTCCTTAATTTTGCAGACCTAATGGTTGGTGGTTTCCTTATATCAGAAAGAGGGACAAAACCCTATTTACCTGTAAAGCTGCGCTTCGTAATTCCAAGCATGTTGCAATTTTGCCTATGGTTTTCTGCAGGAAAAAGAAAAAGCTGTAAATACCAAAAATTGTAACTATTAACCAGTAGTTGTCAAAATCACCAGTTGATTTTTATTGATAAAGGATGTGCCAGTATAATTTCTAAAAATAACCCTAACCCTAACCCTATAATTCTATCAGTTAGAGACAGTCATTTTATAGATGTGAAAATTAAACAGAGGTTAAGTTTCCCTGGATATAAAATTTTTTCTATACAAAATATTAAAAAGCAATATTTATTTTAATACCATTTGGCCATACTTTTTGTTCTTTCAAAAATGTTCTTTTAACAAGGATTTTGTCTGTATTAATGTGAGATATATCAATGAGCAAGTCTTTAAAGATATTACTTAACTCCTTTTCCTTCTTTACTTTAAAATCCACTTGATTTGGTACTTTTAACTTTTAAAGTAAAATGCAGTTTAACAACTATGAGTCCACTAATAACCTATTTTAAAATAAACATTCTTCAAATTAAGCAGAAGCAACAGCTTTTGGCCGGAATCTACTGAACTATGGCAAAATACCAATAAGCATTATTCACAACTATTTTAAGGGACCACACCCAACATCAGTATTAAAAGAGGAGTGAAACTATCATTTTCAGATGTAACAATGACTTTTAAAACATGCAGGATTTATTGGTGTCAAAATCCAGTGCTTGCTACTGTAATTGTTTCACCTTTCCAAGAAACAAATGGACACAAAAATGACTGAGAAGCCCAGACATTTGTGCCAGAGTAAGTACTGACTATTAACTAATGTGCATTGAGGGAAAGTGAAGTCTAAATTTAGAAAGATTTAAATTATCAGCACTTCATTCAAATTCATTGCTCATATCTGATATGATATGCAATGGTAAATGTTCTCATTTTCAGAATATTGGCTATTTTAGTTTATTGTTGCTAAGGAATTGGCAACTCCAAAAAGAGCAGTTTTAAAGAAAAAGGCGGAATCCAAATTAGACACTTAACGAGCTACATTAATTTTGCTAAGATGTATTCAACTTAAATAGGTTTTAAAAATACACGTAATTGAAGTAGTAGTACAGTCTCAATCCAGATTTAATTTTTTAGACTTAAACAGCTAGTCATCTACTCTCTAGCCGGGGGGGAGGCTGGGAAGGGAGGAAGCGAAGGGGAAGCAGTAGAAAGAAGATGCCTAGAAAATATAATACAAGCATTGGAGCTTGAAGTCTCATTACCACCAAATCTGACTCAAAACAAAAAGAGACTTTCTAAGCATCATGAGACATGATGTTCTATTCTGCCCAGGAACTTTCATGAGAAAATCTACTGCACCAAAGCAGGGAACTTAATGGGATGGAAGCTTCTGGCAGCTATTCTTTGGCTACTAAACCCAGTTGTTATTATGACAAAACTATTGGGAATAGAAAGCCAAGTCAACGAATCATGAGGGAGGATCAAATAAGAATCCCAAAATTTCTTCCTTTCCACCGGAAGTCTTTGTGGATATTATGATTAGAAAATCCCCAGGAATATTTTATCACCAAATAGTCAAGTTTTGAGGGATCAGCAGATCTGTTTTAGAGTCCTTTAGACTTAAAATAAATATTGTGGAGATGTATATAAGTTATGCTTTCAAAAATTAGGCTTTCTTTTACCGTAAAATAAATATCAATAACCTACAATTAATAATAAAGCATTTATTCATCAAATAATTTTGAAAGCTTACTGTGAGCTAGAAAGCAAAAGGCTTTGAATGTGCACCAAAAGGTTGTCAGTTCAATTCCCGGTCAGGGCACATGCCTGGGTTTTGGGCTTGATCCACAGTAGGGAGTGCGTAGGAGACAGGAGACTGGTGTTTTGCTCTCACATCAATGTTCCTCTCTCTCCCCCTCTCCCTTTCTCTCTCTCTCAAAATCAATTTTAAAAAATGAAAAATAAAATATGGCGGTCATTTAATTCTCAATACTGTGAAACCCGCTGATCACTTCCTAATCAATTCCTAGATAGTTTTCACAAATGCTATAGAGGTGATAAAGCATATAGTTCCTTTCTTTAAGCAAACCAATCATTTCTTTTATGGTAATTATTTTCCAAGGCTCAAGTCCTAAATGTTCTATATCTATTGTGGGTATCAATAATTATTGAGAAAAAGAGAACAGTACACTTTTAAATTGTAGCAATGTTTTTTTTCTTTTTCAACACACAAAAAAGTACATTAGATAATGTAGATCTTAAATATTTAAAAAATGCAAATGCACTATCTTGTGTAAGAAATATGGCTAATCAAAATCTTTAGGGGTTTCTTTCCTTTCCAAACTCCTATAAATAACACTTAAATGAATACAAAGCCTAAGGACCAAAATAAATTTGTTTCAGCTTCCTTAAAATGTCTACAAAAAAAAAAAAAAAAAAAAAAAAATCACTCCCACCCCCACTCTTTGCACAAAAAAAGAACTCGAGCAAATTAAGTCACCATAGTTTTCACAATGTGTTTTCTTAAGAGAAGAAGGAAAAACTGACACAAGTCTTTTTAAAAAAATATATTTTATTGATTTTTTTACAGAGAGGAAGAGAGAGGGTTAGAGAGTTAGAAACATCGATGAGAGAGAATCATCGATCAGCTGCCTCTTGCACACCCCCTACTGGGGATGTGCCCGCAACCAAGGCACATGCCCTTGACCGGAATGGAACCCGGGACCTTTCGGTCCGCAGGCTGACGCTCTATCCATTGAGCCACGCCGGTTTTGGCACAAGTCCTTTTCTTTATCTACGAGATTAAAATCTGATTTTACGTTAGATGCTATGAGCCAGGAAAAAATGGGAATTGTTTCTTCCCACTTCATCTCACTCTTCAAAGTAAAGCTTCTTAAAGCATCCTATTTTTCGTCATCTCTACAAGGAATTAAAATTTTAATGGCATATTAAAATTTTAATTCAAGGAGCCGAGACCGGTTTGGCTCAGTGGATAGAGCGTCGGTTTGGGGACTGAAGGGTCCCGGGTTCAATTCCGGTCAAGGGCATGTACTTTGGTTGGGGGCACATCCCCAGTAGGGGGTGTGCAGGAGGCAGCTGATTGATGACTCTCTCTCATCGATGTTTCTAACTCTCTATCTCTCTCCCTTGCTCTCTGTACAAAACCAATAAAATATATTAAATAAATAAATAAAATAAAATAAAATTTTAATTCAAGGAGAAAGAGCACTGTTGAAACATTTTGCAATCTTACGCATTTATTTTGAGACAGAATCTTATGCCAAACTATTGAACTAACTTTTTTCAGTGGTGACTTTTTTTGGGGGTGTCTGTTTTGTTCTGAAAGGAGGTAGAGAAGTTAAGAAAGTTCAGAGTTGCCGAAACCGGTTTGGCTCAGTGGATAGAGCGTCGGCCTATGGACTGAAAGGACCCAGGTTCGATTCCGGTCAAAGGCATGTACCTTGGTTGCGGGCACATTCCCAGTAGGGGGTGTGCAAGAGGCAGCTGATCGATGATTCTCTCTCATCGATGTTTCTAACTCTCTATCCCTCTCTCTTCCTCTCTGTAAAAAAATCAATAAAATATATTAAAAAAAAAAAGTTCAGAGTTAAAAATAAGATATGATTACTCATAATCAAACTCCAATTTATGGACTTCCCTCCCAACCAACGTGTGGATGATCTCCACTAAAGATAAACAAATCCTAAATGGCTAAGAAATTCATGAAGTAAGAAATTCACTGAACGGCAAATCACGTGGTACCTCTATGTGATCACATGTTCAGCAAAGCATAATCATTGTCATTTTTTGAATACCAGTTTAGTTTTTACTTAATGGAATCAAATGAGGAACCCTGTTCATTTGGAATTTGACATATCTGGCCATTATTCTCTGATACCTTTTGTTCTTCTGTAAATTCAGAATTATTGTGTTGAGCTTGGGCCTCTTTTTGTAGATGTCTTGCTAATCTGTAAGAAGAAAAACATATATTCTGTAGAACTGAAGGAAAGTTTCTCAAATGCAATAACGTGAAGCAACTTCAATCTTTTATTTTTGAAAATATTTATTTATTTATTCATTTTTCGAGAGAAAGAGGAAGGGTAGGGGAGAAAGAGAAACATTTATGTTAGAGTGAAACATCGATTGGCTACGTCCTACATGCCCCCTACTTGGGCTCGAGCCTACAATAGGGGCATGTGCCCTAACTAGGAATCGAACCAGCAACCCTTTGGTGCATGGGATGCTGCCCAACCAATGAAGCCATACTGGCCAGGGCACAATTTTAATATTTTAATAACCAGACAGTGAAGTACAATAATACTATGTTCTGGTTTCAAAGTATAAACCTACATTATCTTTATCATAATCATAACTCTTTCTACAATCACAATGAAAATAAGATAAAATTTTCAGAGCATTTCACTGGGACAAATTTGAGCCTTAGACAGTAAAAAAGACTTAGAACTGGGAAGGACCTCGAGTGGCATCTAATCCAACTTTCTTAAGCACGCGTACATTTCTAATGGAACAAGCCAATAAGCAGTTGTCCAGATGTTGCTGAAAACTTCCGGTGAGCACCAATAACAGTACCACCAGAGACACCTCATCAGTCTATTGTTCATTTGCTGGTAAGATTAGTCCATCTTACAGCTGTGCCAAAGTGGCAATACCCAACCAAATTTTACCTTTGAAAACATTTTTCATAAAAAATAAAGAAAACTCCACCAATCTGCCATGAAAATAATTATCTGCCCACTTATCATCAAAATTACAAATAGCATGCTGAAACTGGTTTGGCTCAGTAATAGAGCATCGGCCTGCAGATTGAAGGGTCCCAGGTTTGATTCCAGTCAAGGGCATGTACCTTGGTTGCGGGCACATCCCCAGTAGGGGGTGTGCAGGAGGCAGTTGATCGATGATTCTCTCTCATCGATGTTTCTCTCTACCCCTCCCCCTTCCTCTCTGTAAAAAAATCAATAAAATATATTTTTAAAAAAATTTTTTGAAGTTAAGCAGAGTTACCATATAACCCAGCAATTTCAAAATCCTGCCGTGTTTCCCCGAAAATAAGACATCCTCCGAAAATAAGACCTAGCGCACGGAAAGATAAGACATCCCCTGAAAATAAGACCTAGCGCAACTTTGGGAGAAAAAATTAAGACACTGTCTTATTTTCGGGGAAAACAGGGTAGGTATATTCCCAAAGAAACTGGAAACATATACTCACACAAAAACACCTGTACACGAATGCTTACACCATCAGCATTATGCATAACAGCCCCAAAGTGGAAATACCCCAAATGTCCACCCACTGATGAACGGGGTAGACAAAAAGGAGTGTATCCATTCAATGGAATATTATTTGGCATAAAGAAGAATGAAGTAGTGATACATGCCACAACATGGATGAACCTCAAAAACATTATGCCTGACTGGCTTATGTCACTTAGCATGATGCTCTCCAGATCCCTCCATGCTCTCTCAGAGGCTAAGAGGGCCTTCTTTTTTTTCTGCTGCCTAGTGTTCATGGGGGGACCTTGTCCCACGCTTTTTTATCCACTCATCTACTGATGGGCACTTGGGCTGTTTCCAGATCTTAGCTATCGATATTATAAATTGCACTGCTTTGAACATTTCGACCTCATTTTATACATAGCCTCATTTTTATACAGCTACAAAAGTTAAGCCAATCGTTAGGCTGGCAGTTTTTAAAATCTGAGAGCCGCTCTGAAGGACGAAGTTAAAAAGTTAGGGTGGCCCTAACCGCTGTGGCTCAGTGGATAGAGTGTCTCGGTCTGAGGACTGAAGGGTCCGAAGTTCAAGGCATGTACCCTGGTTGCGGGCACATCCCCAATAGGGGGCTTGCAGGAGGCAGCTGATTGATGTTTCTAACTCTCTATCCCTCTCCCTTCCTCTCTGTAAAAAAAAAAAAATTAATAAAAAATATTGAAAAATAAAATAAAAAGTTAGTGTGGAAGTCCAGTAGCAGATTTGTATGTGCCTATTGCTCAGTGCTAGCAAACAGCTTGCATACTCTGCTTTCCTCTGTAATTTCCATTGGGCATGGTACTGTCCACTCCCGTTGTGAGGTCTGCTGCTCACTGCCAACAGCTGCAAAGTCCCGCCACTTCCCAGTGAGAGGCAGCTTTATACCTCTGGTCTGCAACTCTGGCCAACACACAGTGCACATGGGTGCGCACTGCCTAACTGGCGACATGTTCTTTGGTAATGAAGAAACTCTAATTTCCCAAATTACATACACGACACGTCTTAAATAAAGTATCTTAAATACTATGGGGCAGAGCAGACAGGATTGGGAATTTTTTTAAAAACCTCAGATTTCAGCAGTAATTTCGCTCTTTCTTTTTTAAAATATATTTTATTGATTTTTCACAGAGCAGAAGGGAGAGGGATAGAGAGTTAGGAACATCAATGAGAGAAAAGCATCCATCAGCTGCCTCCTGCACAACCCCCACTGGGGATGTGCCCACAACCAAGGTACATGCCCCTGACCGGAATTGAACCCGGGACCCTTCAGTCCCCAGACCAATGCTCTACCCAGTGAGCCAAACCAGCTAGGGCAGGGGTATAGTATTGAGACCCTAGGTAGTCTGCTTAACTCAAGCTTCTGTCTCTTCTTTTTGTAAAAGGAGAGTAATATGCTCACTGAGTAGCGGCAAGAGCAAGTGATTATCAAGTGCAAGTGCCAATCAGATGATCTGCTTGGCAAAAGGGCCCAGAGCTGGGTTGTTTTCTGAGCCTTTTGAGAAACTACAGGCGATTCAAAGTCAGTAAGACGGGGAAGGAGAACATCCACACATCCAACGGAATGGCCACAGCAAAACACAAATAACTACTGTAAATAGATCCTCCAGGCACCAATGGCATATTCTTCCCAGAAGACACTGAGGTGTGTGTGTGTGGGGGGGGGGGGGGGAAGAGGGGCAGAGAGATCTTACACACACATACACATGGTTTCATACTCCCTACAGCCTCAAACAATAACTTGCTTCAACCCAAGAAGTCATTCATGGCAACAGTTTGCAGTGGCATTTCAGCAGCCAGTTACTTCCAGGGGAAATGTGTAAGAATCTAAGCAAGGCGTTCTTTTTGTTTGTTTTGTGTGTTGTTGTTGTTGTTGTTTTTTTTAATTTATCTTATTGACTTTTTACAGAGATGAAGAGAGAGGGATAGAGTTAGAAACATCGACGAGAGAGAATTATCCGTCAGCCGCCTCCAGCACACACCCCCACTGGGGATGTGCCAGCAACCAAGGTACATACATGCCCTTGACTGGAATCAAACCTGGGACCCTTCAGTTCACAGGCTGACGCTCTATCTACTGAGCCAAACCCGTTTCAGCTAAGCAAGGTTTCAATAATAATAATAACACCTTGCCTGTAATAATAATAATAACAATAATAACAACTCTTACTTTTTCTGGGGGGAGGGGGGAAACTAGAAGGGGAAAAGAAATGGGACTTGGGGGCTGGGGCTGATCAGAGCCCGGTACACATACACACACACACACACACACACACACACGCACACACACATGCACACGCACCCAGCGGCCATACGTTATACACAGGAAGGGGAGGAGGGGCCCGGGAGGGAGCGGCGGCGGCGGCTCCCGTGCGCGGGTCCGTGAATTCCCAGTTTTGCTCGCTCTTCTGTTCACATCCTGCGCGGGGACTCCACCCAAAGCAGCCGAGCGAGGGTGGGTGGGTGGGACCCACACTGCCGCTGAGCAAATAACAGCCCCAGAAACCGAAACGGAACCGAGGCGACCTGGGAAAACAGCGCTCTGCACAGAAGGATGGGTGGAGAAGGGGGGCCCTTGTCTGGGATCGTGGGGCACCTCTGGCCTCGCTGCTTTCCGGGAGTACACCCCCCCATCCTCCCCATCACCCCCAGCTCGTCCCCTCCAGTCCTACACATGGGGGTGGCGGGTGGGGGGAGGATGGCACCCTGCACACACAGCCACTCGTGCCTGGAACATGGGCGGAGAGCACCCAAGTTTTCCCCTACCCGCCACCCCCCACCCCAGAGAAACTGAGGGGCGGCAACCTGCAAGGGGCGGGGGGAGGAGGAGTAAAGGAAGCTGCAAGCGGGGGACCCGTGAGACTGGGGGGGGAAGGAACTAAGGAGGCAGCCCGATGGGGGCCGGCGCCCCGGGGGACCAGGGCCACCTGTTGAATGGGGACCGGCCCGGCGGAGGCGGAGGGACCAGGGCGAGGAGGCCCCCAGAGAGCCCGCGGGTCGTGGGGTGTCCAGGGCAAAGCGGCCCGGGGGTCCGGGCGATGCGATCCGGCCCCGGTGCCCGCGGGGGGCCCCACCCAGAGGAGCCTCGGCCGCGGAGACGGGGATGGGAGAGACCGACGGGAACGGGGAGATCGGGGGTCCCCCAAGTCTTCATTAAGACTCACATCTGATACTCGTCGATCGCCTCCACCAGCTGGCCCCAGGAGTCGAAGTCGGCGCCCCTCCTGAAGCTGGCGCCCCAGCGCTGCAGCAGAGTGCGGGTCCCCTCCGACATGGCCGGTGCCCCGCCCGGACGCCCCCTCCCGCCCCTGCCCCTGCCCCTGCCCCGGCCGGCGAGCCAGGGGTCTCAGGGCGCCATCCTCCCCGGGCCGGGCCCCGACATTAACAGGGCCGGGAGGAACCGCTCCGGCCGCCGCCGCCGCCCGCCGAGGAGCCGCCCAAGCCCATTTGCCGCCACAGCCAAACTTGGCGGCTCCGCGGCCGCCCCGCCGAGGCCCCGCCCCCGAGGCCCCGCCCCGCGTTAGGTTGAGGCCGCGCCCCGCTCCCCCAGCGGCCAGCGCGGCTGGGCCGCTAGGGCCGCGCCTCCTCCTCGCTTCTCCCAGGAGAGACCAGGCCGCCGCCCCAGAGGAAAGACGAGGGCGGAGCAGCTTAGGAGAAGGGCCCGGGGAAAGGAGCGCGCCCGGAGGGGCTGCGGCGGCGGCGACCACGCCCCCAGCGGCCCGCGAGGTTTGCCCCGGTAGATGTCATGGCCGCCGAGTCACGTGACCCCATTCCGCGCGTGCGCGGTGGTTCCCCCGCCACCCCGCGCATGCGCGGCGGTCCCCGCCCGCCCCAGCTCCGGGGCCAGTTCCTCCGCGTCCCTCTCCCTTCCTCGCTGGCCACTCGCACCCTGTCTGTCCGTCTGTCTCCCCCACGTAGGGAGGACCGCCGTCCCGGGTCCGAGGAATCCGGTAAGTGTGTCCAGAGGACGGGCGTTTCCCAGTAAATATCCTGCCCCTTGTTGTCGCGTCCCTGGAGGCCCAGACCATGGGGGTCACCACCCACCCCCTTTTGCACAGTCCCCATCGACTCCCCCCCAAAGTGTCTCCTTTTGGCATCTTGAAACCAAAGGAAGAGAGGACGTTTATTTTGCGCCCCGAGAATCCACAGCATGAGCAGTCAGATGGGCGGGGACCCTCCCCCCCAACTCCTTGCCCGCCTCTCCGCTGGTATTGGGGGGCTCCCAGCTACACAGGGGCTCGCCCTGCCGTCGTGGGCCCGTCCCCCTCCCGGGTGGGGGGTGTGGGCTCTCCACAGAAATGCCTGCCGGGAAGTGGGGCGCCGGGGGTGGCGCCTGCGCGGGTGGCCGGGCCCAGGAGGTTGGGGAGAGGCTGATGGTAAACAGGAAGCGGACGCTCCGGCCTCGGGGCGCCGCCGCTCAGGTGGGCTCTTCGGGGGATCCGGGGGTTCCGGGGTGGTGGGGGACCCCAGTCCGTAAGCCAGTCCCCAGTGTGGGAGCCTGCTGGGTGGCGGTTGAGTCGGTGGCCCTGCAGGTCCCCTTGCACCTGCGGTGGTGGGTGTGGCGTCCCTGGACCCCACCCTCCGGATCCCTGGAAACCGGGGTGCGGGGTCTGCCGCTGGGGCAGGGAAGACAGCACAGAGGTAACCCGCAGACACGTTCATCCCGGAAGCGGCGGGCCGCCTGGACAGACTGTGTGCAGGCAATTGGCTGCCGCAGAATCCAGTGTATTGTGTGCCATTACCTCTGGAAGGCTGATTTACATGCATGTGGATGCTGTGTTTGCTTAGGTTATAAAGGCGGACATGGATGGTGTCTACAAGATATATATGCATAGATGTCTATGTATATGTAGATATAGGCATATATACATATATATATACACATATACACACACACTTATTTCACTTAGCATAATACAAATGCTATTTTTTAATAGGCCTGATCTAAACATAGACAAAACAAGGTTGACTTATAATAGTGAAGCATTTTGCTTATCTATGAGTATTTTACTTGTATTTTATATAAAAGTGTATATACCATCCACTAACATTTTATTTTAAAAATAATTATTTTTACACTGTTTACATTATTTAACTTGCATGCATTTTTTTTTTTTTAAATAGGAAATATCTGGAGAAGATGACGCATTGGTTTCATAGGAATCCATTAAAAGCCACAGCTCCTGTTTCTTTTAACTATTATGGCGTAGTCACTAGTCCTGCTGCTTCAAAAATTTGCAGGTAAGTGTCGTCAATCTCAACAGGTATTGGTTGAGTCACCCTTGGGTACCATGGAATTATTTAGTTCCCATGGTCAGTCCAAACGTATGTAACACACTGTCCCTAAACTTAGACTCCTTAACACGTGAAGAGTTAAATAATAGATTACTTAAACTTGGCCAGGCCAGGGTCCTTAATTTTAAATCAGTGAGTCCCAGAGAGGCTAAAGCAATCACAACAAAAGAGTTATTGTAATGGTATAAGAGACTCTACAAAGACATATATAGGTATTGTTAATTGGCTGGATATTAAATTCATTGAGTTCTGACCCTATGACCTGAATAGCCCTCAGAGTGTTCATATAGGAGAAAGGAGTTTAAATGAATTGTGTAGCTTAGACCAGGTTAGCAAACCTATGTTCAGCAGATTCGGCCCACTGCTTGTTTTTATAAATAAAGTTTTATTAGAACACAGTCCCTGCACCCCCATTCATTTACATATTGTCTATGGTTGCCTTTGCCTTCTCTCTACAAAAACATTTCCTATAGAGGCTTAGATGACCCGGAAACCTTAAAGTATATACTTCCAGGCCCTTTACAGGAAAAGTAGGCTGATTCCTAATGTAGATAGCAAGAAAGAAGAGAAGTCATTTCTGTCAAGAAAACCTTTGTATTAGAGTAGTTTGACTAGAACAAAAAGCGATTGTGTTTGTTTAATTTTTTAAATTAAAACTTGCTATATATTTTTATTACGTATAATGCCCATGATTTGTCCCTTTAAACTGGACTGAGTTTATTTTAGTACAACTTTAAAACAATTGTGAAATTTCAGTTACGTCCAGTGTTAACCCTAATTAAATTCCTTTCTATGTACTTAGCAATACCTTAGAGAAGGTGTGTGTGTGTGTGTGTGTGTGTGTGTGTGTGTGTGTGTGTGTGTGGTGTTTGAAAAGTTACAAATGGCCGAAACTGGTTTAGCTCAGTGGATAGAGCATCGGTCTGCGGACTGAAAGGTCCCCGGTTCGATTCCGGTCAAGGGCATGTACATTGGTTGCGGGCACGTCCCCAGTAGGGGGTGTGCAAGAGGCAGCTGGTTGATGTTTCTCTCTCATCGACATTTCTAGCTCTCTATCCCTCTCTCCTCCTCTCTGTAAAAAATCAATAAAATATATTTTTTTAAAAAGAAAAGTTACAAATGGAAATTTTAAGCCTGTGTGTGTGTGTGTGTGTGTGTGTGTGTGGTGTTTGAAAAGTTACAAATGGAAATTTTAAGCCTGTGTGTGTGTGTGTTGTGTGTGTGTGTGTGTGTGTGTGGTGTTTGAAAAGTTACAAATGGAAATTTTAAGCCTGTATGTGTGTATGTGAGTGTTGTGTGTGTGTGTGTGTGTGGTGTTTGAAAAGTTACAAATGGAAATTTTAAGCCTGTGTGTGTGTGTGTGTGTGTGGTTGAAAAGTTACAAATGGAAATTTTAAGCCTGTGTGTGTGTGTGTGTGTGTGTGTGCGCGCGCGCGCGCGCGCGTGGTGTTTAAAAAGTTACAATTGATGTGTTAAGCCTGTGTGTGTGTGTGTTGTGTGAGTGTGTATGTGTGTGTGGTGTTTAAAAAGTTATAATTGATGTTTTAAGCCTCTGACGCAGACTCATTGTAACAGCTTACTAACTTGACTGTCTCTGTCTCTTGGAAGTGACCTGAGGTCATCCAGGGCACAGCTGCTTGAATTGTTCACGGATTTGAACTGTAACCCAGAAATGATGAAGAATGCGGCCGATGCGTATTTTTCCCTTTTACAAGGTGAGCTATTTATACAAACACGGGAGTTTTTAAAAGATAGCTATGCACAAGTTCACATTTAATTCTTAGACTTTTCAAATTGGAGTGCAGTCTTCTGGACTGTATTCTTTGGTATGCTTGAGATCCTGAAATGTGAGAGCATAAGAGTGATAATGTGGTCTTGCTCACATTTTGAAAATTCAGTGTGTTCATATTTCATAATGTGTTACTTTGGAGAAGGTGTGAGATACAGAGAGGTGAGGAATTTCATTCAGACACCTGGAAAAGTTATCTGAAAAATACCTGAAAATTTTTCTAAATTTAATACTTGATATCGCTTTCTAAAACTGGAATGTTTTGTGCCGTTTATAGGTTTCATAAATTCACTGGATGAATCTAGCCAAGAAAGTAAGTTACGATATATTCAGAATTTCAAGTGGACCGATACATTGCAAGGACAGGTTCCAAGGTAGGCAGTGCTCACAGTACTAAATTGAAGCCATTTTTAAAAACGATTTAGCCAGTACTTAACTCATAGCCCCTGTATTTGAAGAAATAAAATATAGGCCCAATCAGTATTTTCTCTTATCAGGAAATTAGTTTTTAAAATTTCATCTAAATTCCTAATACATGCTGTTAAGTAAAAATATAATCTTTCTCCTGGACCAAATCTGTTTTTTAGATGATCAGTACAAATGTTAACTTGAATAGCCTTAACTTTTAAAATTATTATTATTTCTTATTGGCTTCGGAGAGGAAGGAAAAGGGAGAGAGAGAAGGATCAGTGATGAGAGAGAATCATTGATCAGCTGCCTCATGCACGCCCCCTACTGGAATTGATCCTCCACCTTGGGCATGTGCCCTGACTGGGAAGCAAACCATGACCTCCTGGTTCATATGTCAATGCTCAACCACTGAGCCATGTTGCCTGGGCCAGCCTTGACACACACAGTGTTTGGAATTTGGAACCCAAAGCTAGCTTTCGATCTTTGCCTACATTCAGGCAGAACAGAATTTGGTTTTTCCCCTCCTTTTCTTTTCTGATGAATAATTTAGATTTCTTTGGTCAGTGTCTTTTTCTTTCTCCCCAATTCCACCCCAGTTCCACACTCTTTTGATTCACTATATTTATTTTCTTCCCTAACTTCTCTATATTGTTTCTGCTCCTTTTAAAAACTACTCCCCCTCAGAACTTCCTTACCACTTATTTGAGACTAATTAGAAGAGATCTAATTATAACAGGAAGCAGATCATAATGGAGCTAAGTTTTTATTTAACTCCCCCCCCCTCCCTTTTTTTTTTTTTCCACCACGGAGCTATTTAAATGGTCTTTATATCAATTTGCTAGAATTACTGTTTTCTAACATCAGAAGGGAAGGACATGGAGACGACTGAAAAACCACACAGACAGGCATTGGAGGCAGGAGTGTGGACCTTGGATTCACGCATAACTAGATGCGAACTCAGGGCTTATAGTGCGTGAACACCCGCCTCTCCCGCTGCATGCTGGGAGTTTGCAGGTTTAGGCCTTTGCGAGAAGCAGAATAGGAAGGAACACCTATCTTAAGTGATTGATATAACGCCAGGCACATAATAGACATTCAGTGAGTGTGCGTTTCCTTCCTTCCTTGGGAATGTTGTGTGTAGAAATCATAAATTGGATAGGAAGCTGGGGACTCTGGATCCTTTGGACATTTTGATATTCTGAGATCCTAAGGATTTCCAAGTCCTCATTTTGTGTGTGTGTGTGTGTTTTTTTTCTGTGACTCCTTTGTATTTTATCTAAAATTAAGGAATATTTTCATTTAAATTTTTTTTTTTTTTTAGCGAATCAAACCGCTATCTTTATTACATTAGAAAACTTGGCAGCTTCTAAGACTGTTTGGCATTACATACATTTGGAACTTTTCCCACCGTGCCAAATGTTGATCCCTGTAACAGCATTTTCTGCATAGTTTCATGAGACGGTGCAGAATTATGTGATAGAGGCCTTAAATAATACTACTGAATATTCAGTACATCTGAGATATTTAAGTAACTTTATCCTTGACTGCTACTGATAGGCAATAGAAAATACACTTACGAGTATAGAATGAATATAGCTTTTCTGAAAAATGTTTCCTCAACTGTATATGCTCTGATAGATGTGGTTCAATAAAAGTGGAATATTTGGGAGTGAGGCAGATTGAAATAAATGAAGGAAAAATGGGAGTTACTCCTACGACCGTAAATTAGGAAAGCTATTTTATTACTTTAAAGTTATAGAGTAGAGATGCCTAGTAGATCATCAGAGATAATTCATTTGAAAGGTCTCAATGCTGAAAAGAATAAGCTATAAAACTGCATTAAATTTTCTTCAGGTAGTTTGTTCATAACATAATTTTGTATAACATACTAAACAGGATGGTTTATAAGTTATTTTTGAGTTACCATATGTCTTATAACAAATCTTTTTTTTTTTAACCTAAAATATTTATGTCTCCATTTCTTTTAAGATGTAGGCAACAAAGTAGAAGCATATTCTGTTTTTTTCTCCGTTGGGTAATTTTCCTTTATCTTAGTATTGTGTATGTAAAATGAGATCATGTATAAGGAACTTCCAGGGTCGTGGCAGAAGCCTAGTGATTAATTAGTATTATCTCAGTTGCTTAATAAGCTTTTGTCATCTTTGTGTCGTATTTAGTAATAGAAGCTGAAGGAAACAAGATACAAAATACTATTATACTTGAGTTGAAGACCTTTCTTTTTCTTTGTAGCACGCTGATTGGCTTAGCTCAAAATCCTCTTCAGTTTCTTTCCAGTTTGGCTTTTTGACTCTGTTCCTGGATGTGTTTTTATGAACCATCTGTGCCAGTCCAGCCAGTGGGGTCTCTGCTGTCAGGAAAATGGTCAGACCTTCTAGTGCATTCCCAGCGGCGTCCCCTCACCTGGGACGCCCTCTGCTTCCTGCACCATCTTTCAGGGCACACTTCAGAGTCTATAGATACATTAAGCCTTCTTCAATTATTTAGCCTGGAACTGTCTCTCCTATGAGTTCCACTTTCTTAAAATGTGGCCTAAGAGCCAGCAGCCCCAGAATCAATGGGGTACTTGTTAAAAATGCAGATCCCGGGCCCCTCCCAGACTTTCTGACTCTCTGGGATTGAGTCCCAGAAATCAGTGTCTTTAAAGCTACTCTATGCACAGTAATCTTTGGGAACAACTCCTAGTCTCATGCTTACCTCCATCATCATCACATTAGAAAACCTTGGCTTGCCAAAACCTATTTGGCTCAGTGAATAGAGCGTTGGCCTGCGGACTGGAAGGTCCCGGGTTCGATTTTGGTCAAGGGCACGTACCTTGGTTGCAGGCACATCCCCAGTGGAGGGTGTACAAGAGGCAGCTGATCAATGATTCTCTCTCATTGATGTTTCTGTCTATCCCTCTCTCTTCCTCTCTGTAAAAAATCAATAAAAAAATATATTTTTTAAAAAGTCCATCTTAAAAAAAAGAAAAGAAAACCTTGGCTTACCGTTACGGAGTACATACTGTGTTTAGTCCTTCATTGTTAATTACGTGTGTGTCTTATCCATCTGTGTAAAACACAAGGACTGTTTTCACCATTTTTCAGTTAGTATAGAGTTACTGTAATTTTGAGTTGGATGTCCCAGTAGGTCTCCTATAGAGATGTCTTACTAATTGGCAAAACGTAATGATCATGTTTATGATTGTAGTGCCCAGCAGGATGCCGTCTTTGAATTAATTTCCATGGGATTTAATGTGGCTTTATGGTACACCAAATATGCCTCGAGGCTGGCTGGCAAAGAAAAGTAAGTTAAAGGGGGTGGCTTATATGCACATGTGTTACTTTTCCAGTATATGGAGCTTTGTTATTAAACAATCGAGGCTATTGATAAGAGGTAGTACTTTGGTAAGTGAAAAGGTTGCCTCAAAATGGTAGCATATTAAATATCAGGATTATGGAGCCCAGTGTCAAAAGGAGGGGGGAAAATGAATAATCTTGTCATGGGGAAGGTCTTTTAAAATAAAACCCCAAACCAGGAAAAGGAAAAGATTGAATATCTGACTATGTAAAAGTACTGTAAACAGAATTTTTAAAATGACAGATGGGTCAAAAAAAAGTGCGATGCATTTTACAAATTATTTTTATAAAAAGAGAGGTCAAAAAAAGTGCGATGCATACTACAAATTACTTTTATAATGTATATTCTTAGAAATCAGCAAGGAAAAGACCAACAAATCTAATGAAGGTAATCAAAGGACATAAACAGTTCACAGAAACATAAATAAAAAGGCTTTAGAAATGCAAAAGATGTTCAGAAGGATTAAAGAATTGTGAAGTAAAATGAGATACACTTTTTATAACAGTGAAAGTGGATATTAACAATATGAAATCCACTGCCCTCTCGGGTGCATCTGAACACGGGAATAACATGCAGCCATTTAAGAGTGAACTTGATGGTTGGGGACTTGACGGAGTGGTGAACACACAATTCTATATTCAGATGATGTATCAGAACTGTACCTCTGAAACCTGTATCATTTCATTAACCAGTGTCACCCCAATAAGTACAATTTTTAAAAATGAAGTTGAATTGTGTAGGCTGATGTAAAATGATCTCTGAAGTAATTGAAGGGGTTAAGCAAGAGCAGAGCAGTGAATGTGTGTATTTATGTGTTTTTCAAGTGTGGGTGTGCATTAAGTGTATAACGTTCGAGGCCGTTTATGCACAGAAGATCTTCTGGAAGGAAAACCAAGAAGCCTTTGTTCGTAAATGAAAAAAGTTTCTTCTCTTTGGATTGTTTTCATGTGCATTTGTTAAATGTCAAATTAGATTTTCTAAAAGGAGGAAAGCTGGTAGTGAGCAGCACAATGCCTAATTTGGTTTTATGATACATAATGTATTAGTTGTTGGTTTTAATACCAGCAATGGCTTTGACCCTCTAAGTAATGTCACCGCTGTCTTTAAGCATTACAGAAGAGGAAGCAAAAGAGGTCCATCGAAGCCTGAAAATTGCAGCTGGGATTTTTAAACATATAAAGGTAAAAAAACAATAACATATTTCTAATGCTTCATTTCTTGGAAAAAATTTTTTTAATATATTTTTATTGATTTCAGAGAAGAAGGGAGAGGGAGAGAAAGAGAAACATCAGTGTTGAGAGAGAATCATTGATCGACTGCCCCTGCGCGCCCTCCTTCAGGGGTCGAGCCTGACCGGGAATCGAACAGTGACCTCCTGGTTCATAGGTGGATGCTCAGCCTCTGAGCCCCACCAGCCAGGCTTGAATAATTTTTCTTTCTTTCTTTGGGGTGGAGGACGAGGGCATTATTCATTATATAAAAAGTACTAGTGTATGTTCTGGTTTCCTATGTAAAGTAACCATGTTGGACCAGTTATAGAATAGTGTCTTCATTTTTGAAAATCACCAGTGGATTTTACAGTGAGAAAACTCACGTCATAATTCACTGCTTATTCTTCTGTCTCTTCTGAGAAGGCAGAAGACAGAGCACCGAAGTTGCTGGTGCTGACCGGTCCTTATTGCTGTCTGCAGTGAGAACTCTGCAGGGCACACAGCACACACTAGCTATACTGAATTGCCTGAAGGTGGATGGGAATTAGGAGAAAGAGTAATATATTTCCAACCAGAATCACCCGCATCTCATGCTCCCTATAAACCTCTATTTCCTGGAGACCAGTGTTGGGTTTTCTCAGGATAAGATAAGATGCTTTTACAGGGACCACAAAGCTGAGACGCTGAGGGAGCTGTAGGATTGTCATCTTTATATCCAGCTGTTCATGTGAGTGACAGCAGTGCGGGCTGCCATTCAAAAGGCGACTGTTTCAGTTAAACGTTTTCTAAGGTGCAAATACGATTTACACATCTAACCAGTCCATAGAGATCTAGACTTTGTTCTTGAATTTCTTATTTTTGCAAAAGCTTATAAAAAACATTGAACGTTTGAGTATATAGGAGCTTTTATTCTCTATAAGCTTAGTATTTTTCCTTTTTAACACATTTTTTTGTTAGTACCTTGTATTTCTGATAAATCTCCATCAGCTTCCACTTTCTTCATCTCTCACAACTGGGTTAAAAGAAATTTGGCTTTTTCTTCTTCTTTCTCTTTCAGGAAAGTCACATCCCACGGCTTATCACACCCGCCGAGAAGGGGAGAGACTTGGAAGCACGGCTCCTAGAAGCTTACATTATTCAGTGTCAGGCTGAGGCTCAAGAAGGTACCTTCAGATTGTAAGGTGTTTTTAAAAGAAAGCCTGGCCCTGGCCGGCGTGGCTCAGTGGATAGAGCGTCGGCCTGTGGACTCAAGGGTCCCAGGTTCGATTCCCTTCAAGGGCATGTGCCTTGGTGGCGGGCACATCCCCAGTGGGGAGTGTGCAGGAGGCAGCTGATAGATAATTCTGTCTCAACCTTGTTTGTGTCCCTTCCTCTCTCATCCTCTCTCTCTCAAATCAATGAAAACATTAAAAAAATAAATAAAAAGTAGCATCAGAGCCAGCAAGCTCAGTTTGTGTTTGCATTTTCTGTAGCATACTTTTCAAATTAAAACTTTTTAAGAAACTATTAAAACCCCACATAGGTTGTTGGACTGTCTTCTGCCATTATAATTGAACATGGATTAATTTGATTGTGTTTTGGCCACAGTGACAATCGCTCGAGCCATTGAGTTGAAGCATGCTCCGGGACTGATAGCCGCGCTGGCCTACGAAACAGCCAATTTCTATCAGAAAGCTGGTATGTTCATAATCCCATTGTTACACTTTTAGCCTTTAGATCTTCAGATTAACTTCCGGGCTAAATAGGGAGCAAGCAAATCAGAGAAATTCTCCAGAATTTTCACACAATGATACCTGCATTATTTTATGAATTTTGTTGAAAAGAAAAGAATTAGAGCTGTTCACAGTTAATGGAAAGGACGATCCTATACTTTTTAACCAATTATGTCTTAATAATTATATAGCTGTTTTGCTTTTGAAAATTTTTGGGTCTTTATTACAACCGTATAGTTACTATCCTTAGTGAGACAAGAAACCAAAATCCAGAGACTTAACATAACTGACCCATCAGTTAACTGCTAACAGTTGAGGAGTTGGGACTAGAACTGTGGCCATCTCATTGGCCTATTTTTCTTTTCATTCACTTACATAGGGAACACATACATGTTCCTGTGTATGGGATGGTTACTATTTTAGTTACTGGGTATACAGAGATCAGTACAACAGATTCACAGTCTAGGGAAAGGGACAGACACATTATTGTGGCATGACATAAGATGTTACAGCGTGAAATAGAAGCCCGAAGGACCTGGCCTGCGAGAGGAAGCTGGTGTGTTAGCCTTATTTTGAAATGTAAATAGAAATCCTAAGTGTGCTAGGAATCTTGAGCGATGGGAGGAGGAGAACATCCTGTAGTTTATAGAGATAAAAAGGAGCTTAGCTCCCTCTGGGAGCTTTGGACAGATAGTCTGGCTAAAACACTGGATGAGCCCTAACCGGTTTGGCTCAGTGGATATAGCGTCGGCCTGTGGACTCAAGGATCCCAGGTTTGATTCTGGTCAAGGGCATGCACCTTGGTTGTAGGCACATCCCCAGTAGAGAGTGTGCAGGAGGCAGCTGATCGATGTTTCTCTCTCATCGATATTTTGAACTCTCTATTCTTCTCCCTTCCTCTCTGTAAAACAATCAATAAAATATATATAAAATAAATTAAATAAAACACAGGCTGAGGGTTAGGAGGAGAGGCTAGGAAAGTGTGTGGGGGTGAAATCATGAACTGGTTTGCTAGCCTATCTTAGGAGTTGGGCCTTTATTCAGTAGATATTTGGGGCCCATTAAATGATATAAACTTGATTGCATTTGAATTTTTAAAAGGTCCCCATGATTGTAAGATGAAAAATGGGCGTGCTTAGGAGGAATGCTTACAATGAAAAGAGAAAATGATGAACACTTAGACAATGATAGCAAAGTAGGAAATGGGGAGGAAGAAATAGACTTGAGAGAGGCGTGGCAGGATGTGTGAATGTGTGTATTTCATATGAGATTCAGTGATGAGTGTGTCCTTCATGTTTCTGACTTGGGTGACTAGACTACTCTGCATTGCTATATAACTTTAAAAAAATAGATAATGTAATAGTATAAATCATATTTACCTTCAAGTTCTTAGTTATATCTATTTTTATCATTATGTTAAACCTAAATTACATTAACCATCAAATCAAAGAAGAGCCCTGGGACTTCACCAATCTTGTTATATGGTTATTGGGAAAAACAAATCACTTGAAATAAAGCGAGGTTTTTAAAAACGTGTAAATGCTTGAGTTCTAGACTTGAATGTCATTCTGCTTTTAGCATCTGAACACATGACCTGAAAGTCTCCTAGTGAATCAGGGTGAAATGATATTTTGCTTTTTAAAATGTAACTTTAGATCATACTTTATCCAGTTTGGAGCCTGCGTACTCTGCTAAGTGGAGAAAATACCTTCTCTTGAAAATGTGCTTCTACACGGCTTATGTAAGTATGCATGACCTGGAAACAGTGAGTCATGGTCTTCCCAGCCCCCTGAATGCCACGGGTGCCAGCTCTCCCGACCCCTCATTAGCATTTTACAAATTACGGAGCTCTCAGTAGAAAGTCCCCGGCAGTCAGTGCAGCCGCCATTTTGAACTAAGGTGGGTGGAGAGAGAGGATGGGGAACTCAGAACTGGGTTCTAGCCATGGAACCCACTTTTAAGCTGGAAGCATCTGCATACTTAAGAATTATCTCATTTCACCCTGTAGAAAGATACTAATTCTAATCGTAAGGCATACTGTACATGTTTCACCTTCGCTGGTGGAGAACTACTAATGAGCATTCTTGGGAAGTGGCCTTTTTGTCTCATTGCCCTGGCCACTGAGGCTCAGTTGATTGGGGCGTCATCCCACACACTGAAAGGTGGCGGGTTAGGCTCCTGGTCAGGGCACATCCTAGGTTGCGGGTTCAATCCCCAATTGGGGTGGGATGCAACAGATTGATGTTTCTCTCCCTACCTCTCTCTGAAAAAAAAAAAAAGAGAGAAACCCTACCCTTTTTCAGATCTAGGTAGATATTTTCATTTCTTATGCCTTATAACCGGTTTTCAAGCCTGCGCATAAGACCATGTGTGTACTATCCTTATACTGATACAGACGTTTAAAGAGAGCATATCTGACTTCACGCTTCAAACTGGTTTAGTCCTAATTTAAGTCCTCCCTCCCACTCCCAGTGATGTAATTCCACATTTGATACTAACAGAGATGGGGGAACGCTTATTCAAGTAAATACATGTAAGGGATTGCATTGAAACTTGAATCAGTGGACAAAGGCAGTGATTTATCTGATGCATGTATAAAACAATGGCAGTGGAAAGCATCATTTGTGGAGAAAATGAATGAAAATCTGTGTCTCTTTTCAGGCTTACTGTTACCACGGTCAGACTTTGTTGGCTAGTGATAAATGTGGCGAGGCAATCCGGTCTCTCCAAGAAGCAGAAAAATGTGAGTATTCCCACCAGGTTATTAAATTTTATTCTTAAAGACACATGTTTTATCCTAAAGGGGAGAGGCAGTTAAAACAGATTTTGGCTGAGTTCATGAACGGGGATGGGAATTGGAAAAAAGAAACAACATTTCAGAAACCTCGACTCTAGAGGTTTGCACTGATCCTGGGGTTGCTGTAGCATTCCCTGCCTTCTCCGATTTAAAGCGCTCTCATTGTGAATAATCAGTAGTGACTTCAAATCAGATGACTTTCTATCCCTTTCACCCGCAGCCTTTGCAAAGGCAGAAGCGTTATGCAAAGAATATGGAGAAACCAAGGGGCCTGGACCAACAGTCAAGCCTTCGGAACACTTGTTCTTCAGGAAACTTGGAAACCTTGTGAAGAATACCCTCGAGAAGTGTCAGAGAGAGAATGGGTTTATGTGAGTACAGCTGAGCAGTATCTGCACTAATAAAAGAGTAAGATTCAAACTGACCATACCTTCGTGATGCCCACCATCCAATCAGGAGTGTGTATGCAAATTAACTCAACAGAGATGGTGGGTAAATTTGCATACACGGGCACTGAGTGGCCATGGGGGGGGGGCTCCGCGGGGGGGATGCTGATGTTGTCACCATGGTGACAACATAGGCCTTCTGCACTGCCCCAGCCGCTCTGGGCCTCTGGGTAGATGGGAAGGCGGAAAGGCGGCTCCAGGCTGGTGCAAAGAGGCTGCTCCAGCTGGAGCGAAGGCCCAATTCTTGCATGAATCTCCATGCATCGGTCCTCTGGTCTTAGTGATATTAACGTTCGTAGGCCATGACTCTTGAATAACACAGGTGTGAACTGCTTGGATTCACTTATAGGCAGATGTTTTGGTAAATATCTGTAACTTCCATCCACAGTTGGGGATTCACAGATGAGGAGGGCAAACTGTATACATTGATCTGTTTCTAAAGACTTTATATCAGATTTCAATTAAGATGAACTTTAATCTTCTGTTAAAATTGCTACTAAAGTTTACTTGTGTTGTCTTAACACTTATTCTGCTTATGATGATGATGTATAAAAGCAGATTTCAAAATTTAAATATGAATTTTCAGTTAACGTAATAAATCTCATACGGCCCTGATTTTCTGTTTCCCTGCATTCTCTCCCCATATGTTATATATATTCCTCACAACTCCCTTTGCATGGTCATCTCACTCTGGTCTCAGCCACCTATAAGCAGGGAGATTAACTTTCTGTCTCAGTTTTGTAATTAAATCAGCATTGTTCAAACTGTATATTGGTAGATACAATTTTTAAAAGATCTTTAAAGTTTCCATACTTTTTAAAAATATATATATTTTATTGATTTTTTTACAGAGAGGAAGGAGAGGGATAGAGAGTTAGAAACATCGATGAGAGAGAATCATCGACCAGCTGCCTCTTGCACACCCCCTACTGGGGATGTGCCCACAACCAAGGTACATGCCCTTGACCGGAATCGAACCTGGGACCTTTCAGTCTGCAGGCCAAAGCTCTATCCACTGAACCAAACCGGTTTAGGCTAAAGTTCCCATACTTTTTAAAAATTATGAGTTAATTGGAAATTGGGAAATAATGTGCCAAGTGTGGAAAATCTAGCGTGAAGTGCAGAGAAGATAAAGCCACAGTCTTCATCATTGAGTGCCTCTCCATTCAGAAATAGCGACGTCTCCTCATTTAGTGAGATCTCTCTTTTCAGCCCTCAGTCTTTCACGTGGGTTTCATACATTTTTTGTGTGACGTTCATGTCTATCAGGTTTCTCTCCAGCTTTCTAAATAAAGGTCCAGGAGCAAATATATTCAGGAAAAAACAGCTTTTCAGCAGCGGGCTGCAAAGTTAACCTCAAATTGTCCCTGCTTTGGTCTCCTTCCATCCCTCCCCTTGTTCCTGCACCTGGTCATCTGAGCACCTTCACGCCCTTGAACATCAAATAAATGAACGAATGAATGAGTGAATTGCTGTTTCAATGGCTTTTTGCAGCTACTTTCAGAAAGTCCCAACAGAAGCCCCACAGCTGGAACTCAAAGCGAATTACGGCCTGGTGGAGCCCGTGCCTTTCGAATTTCCTCCTACGAGTGCTCAGTGGACCCCAGACACGCTGGCTGCCTTTGACCTCACCAAACGGCCCAAGGAGGACAGTGTAAGAGACCGGGTTTTCCATTCCTTCACAGACGCTTTTCATCCTCACCCGAGGATTTTTAGACAGAGGGAGGGGGGGAACAGGGGAGAGAGAAAGAAACATCGATGCGAGACAGACACATCTTGCATGCACCCCTACCAGGGCTGGGAAACCTGCAACTGAGGTATGAGACCTTGACCAGGAATCAAACCTGACACCCTTAGGGTCCCAGATGCTCTAACCACTAACCCAACCGGCCAGGGCTCATTCACAAATGTTTAAAAAGAACTCAGAGTTAGCGTTTTGATATTGTTCTCTGCACAAGTAGATGTATATATATTTGTCTAAATGTTACATTAGCTAACTGCAGCGCTTGGTGAAATGTGTTCTAGGACTCAGAGACAGACCTCGAGGCCTTCATTGTCTCCTGATTTTCTACCTCATTGACTGGCCTTGTTTTCAACTCCCTGTCTTGCCTCTTTTCCAGTTTGTCAGAGCCTCCTGAGAGAGAATGGGAGAGCACCTCTGAGGAGGATGGCCTGCCCACGTCTAGAGCTCTAGGGATGCTCTCTGACTTGTAAGAATATACATTATAGCCGGGACCGGTGTGGCTCAGTGGATAGAGCGTCGGCCTGAGGACTGAAAGGTCCCGGGTTCGATTCCGGTCAAGGGCATGGACCTTGGTTGCGGGCACATCCCCAGTGGGGGGTGTGCAAGAGGCAACTGGTCGATGTTTCTCACTCATCGATGTTTCTAGCTCTCTGTCCCTCTCTCTTCCTCTCTGTAAAAAATCAATAAAATATATTAAGTAAATAAAAAAAAAGCTGGAAGTGGAAAAGGTCTAGCGTTCGTTTTCTGAATCTTAGCTTCTGTTCTTCTGTTCTTCCTCCCCAGACCAAACCCAAACCGGAAGACGTGAGGCCTGTGAAAGAGCCGGACATCAAACCCCAGAAGGACACGGGGTGCTCCGTCTCCTAAATGCATCGACCGCGGTGCCTGGGAGCCGCCCGGCTAGTGGACGAGATAAGCCGAGGACTTCCGTCCACGTTTCTTGAAATGATTTCCCTGAAGCCTGTAGAATAATTGAGTGCATTCAGAGGGAACCGGCCTTCCGTTTAGCTGTCAGATTTTTCATAGACGGGGGCTTCAAGCTTTGTTTCCACACTCCTTTTTCACCAGGACAACATGGGGAAGACTGGACTCTGCCTCTGAGGAGTGTATTTAAGGGTTGGGTTTTGTTTCTCACACACACACACACACACACACACACACACACACACACATTCTGGGTAGTAATAAATTACAGGTTAGTATAGCAGAGGCCAGAATCACCCTTTGGGTATGTTTTCTCTCTTTACAAAAAAACTTATTCTCCTTCCTTTTAACTGATCCCAACAGAATGACAGGAGTCTGTTTTCAACAGAGTTTTCCCTTCACCATTCTGTTCATTGTAGCACAGACTTAGGTTCTGAGTTTAGTTACCTTTTCCGCTGGGGGGAAAAAAAAAAGTCACTTATAGTTAAAGGTTAGAAAATGTTTATACCCATCCCCTTATGATCGAATGTATGATTTCCTCAAAAACCAGTGTTCAGGGATGTTGAGATCATTTAAGGACTTCTGCTCTGGCGGCCCTGCACCTCGTCTGTCTGTAAACTTCCACCGGTTTTGACGAGTTCCTTTCTAATGGGTTTTTCACTCCCAGGGCAGACTTGGCGATAGCTTGTATATTTCTGTGTGAGGGGAACCAGAACGAAAAGGTTTTTGAAGAAGTCAGATGTTACATGATGTCGAGGGAAACCTTGAACTCAAGGGGAGGGTTGAATTACACTGTCACTCCCAATTCTTTGTTAGAGACAGAGTAAAATCCTTTGGTTACCTGGGGGTAGTGTACCTTGCTTTTATATGATTTTTTTTTTTCCAGATACACAGGATATGTGTTGCTTCAGGCCAGAGGCCAGAGCAAAAACTTAACACCAGATACAGTATGATCTTAGCAATAGTTTGTAATATTTGAAATCACTTCGTATGTACATAGACTTGGGATATGGTGGATGCATACACCTGTAGGTTTATCTTTGGATTGTTCTCCGGGGGCATTAGCTAATTTCCCTGTCATAAATGGGCTGGCACACTTAGTAAGAAGAGCAGTATGTGTTGGAACTTATTAAGTACCGGGAAGTGCTCTGCACCGAGCACTTCCACAAATGATAAACCCTTGAATCCACACGGCAACCCTGAGAAGTAGGTAATCTCTGCAGAAAGTATTGAAATAGGAATAAACATTTCATTATGAAGAATAGATAGATTATGCCTGTCTGAATCAATATTGTGCCCCAATAAGTTCTTACTAAAACCACAATTGACACTCTTGAGACAAGCTCTATAGGATCATGGTGTTTAAAAAAACATGTGAAATCCTACCGGGAGTAACACATGGGCATGCTCCTCGCTGTGTTTGGAAGCTGCCGTTTCCAGAGGAAGTAAAGCAATAACATTGTAGTTCGCTGTCTGTAGAAACAGTATTTTAATTACATTCACTGCCTTGTGGTTATAGCCGTCTGCCGGCTCGCTGGACGCCAGTAACTGACAGAACTGAGCTGCCCTTGGAGCTTACAGCTGGGCCCCGAGGGCCAGCTCATCGAAGGTACCAGCGCTCGCTCATCAAGCTGCTCATTCTCACATGGACATGTGTGCATCATGCTACCACACATGGAATTGAAGCATGTAGCACGCTCAGCACTTCTGTGATTCGCAGTAAATACCGGCAGTTCAGTCCGTAACTGGCAGCTTTGACCCGAGCAGGTAAACATTCTGTTGACTCCGCAGAGGCGACGCTTTGTGACTGAAATGCCCCCTTTGTCATGTGGTTTGAAATAGTGAGCTTGGGGAAGCTGAGGAATGTAAAAAAGCTGCATGAAGGGTCTAGAGAGAGGGAACCATTTGCATTAACTGCTGCAGACACGTCATACTTTACTTAACGCAGATAATGACAGCTAACATTCTGACTGTATAACGAATTATCTTTTTATTTATGGAAATAAATACTTTTACTTACAGTTGCATTGACCTTTTTATTCTCTGTTCTGTAAATTTTTTCCCCATTGATTAAGCCAGGGACAGAGTTAACACAGTGCAATACCATAATTTTTCACGGTGACATCGGGAAGTGACAGAGCCATATGTGTGCGTTGTTTTATGCTACATGAGGTCGTTAGCTGTTCCACACAGCCCAGGGGTCGGCAAACTACGGCTCTCGAGCCACATGTGGCTCGTGAGCCACGGTTTGCTGCTCTGTTGACTAATGAGTTTGCTGACCACTGGGATAGGGGCTTAATCACAAGGAACAACAGCCTGTAATTACTGGAATCGAGAAACAAGAATAGAGGCGCTCATGAGAACTGAAGCGTGTGGCAGGGACTGTTTGGTCCTTTGAAAGATCACTTCACGGCATCCATATCCAGGCGCTTGGTGTGAAGCTGGCAATGTTCCCGAGGTTTTTGGAAATAAAAATCAGATCCATGCTGTAGGACTGAGCCCACTCTGTCAGGCGCTGTGACTTTCGCAGAGCACATCCTAAAGTGTCCACCAGGTGGCAGGAGACACCCACCAAATCAGCTGCAGGTACAGTCCCACTCTCTACCCCTCCATTTAGTGAAAAGAGCCCCTCTGAATTAAAAGATGCATATGTCTCCTTAATGTACATCATTATCACGTAGAACAGCGGCCATTTGTAAGATAATGGGGTGAGCCAGGTGTCTGGGGTACAGAGTGCTTCATTCCATTTGGAAATGTGTATATTTTGGAAATGTGAGCTGGTTTTGGGAGGAGTCAGGCCATGAGACCTTTAGGCCTTTTTCATAAACTACAGATGTAAGATTTTGAGCTTGGGGAAAGGTGGGGGAAGCAGGCTCAGAAAGCAAAAAACAACAACAACAAAAAAACCCTCTTTTTAAAAAGTAAGTCCTGTATCACAAATCTATTTCAATTTTTAAGTTATATCTTCCTCTCTCCTTAGGATACTAGTCCCCAATCTTGCTTGCACACGGGAATCCCGTGGGCAGCTTCAAAAATAACCAATACCCCCGCCCCATCCCTAGAGATTGTGGTCTGAGATGTGGTCTGGCCTTGGATGTGTGTTTGTTTATTTTAAATATATTTTTATTGACTGGAGAGAGAGAGAGAGAAAGGGTAAAGAATAGGGAAATAAAAACACCATTGAGAAGGCTGCCTCCTGCACACCCCCTCCTGGGGATCGATCCTGCAACCTGGGCATGTGCCCTGACCGGGAATGGAACAGACTCAACCGCTTAGCCACACTGGCTGGGCCTTGGAAGTTTTTTAAAGACCTCCGGATGATTCTGATACGAAGACAAGTCAGAGGGCCACCGTGTTTTCCACTGGCTGATTCGCCCAGGTGGGCGGGTCTTCAGGGTACCAGGAAACACCAGTAACCCCTCCAAACAAAATTAGGTTTCCAGGAAATCCAACTCTCTGGTGGTGTAACTCTTTTGCTCACAGATCTGAAGCCAATTTTCCAAAGCCCAACCATAATACCAAATTAACTCAGTAGGAAGGGATTCTACCATTAGCCAAGTTCAGAACCAGAACCAACTCTCCCCAGCAACAGCCCAGGCAGTGGCATCATTCGTGTCACCAGTCCAGACCCCTCCCCCTCTTTCCCAGTGAGTCCCCTTTATTGTTCTTCCATGCCAGCTCGCCTTGGTCTTCATCCCTGTCCATCCGACTGGGATAAGGAGCCGCTGTCCTAGTCCTTTTCCTTCCAGGAGGCATCTCTGCCTTCGGTATAGTTACAGATGCTCAACAACATGTGGGGGAAAGGTATTGCCTAGCTCTATCTGGAAGCTTCCAAGGTCCAATGATACATCCGGAAAGGGGCAACTGGCTTCCTCTCCCAGCAATATTTACAACCCCAGTCGAAACCGGTTTGGCTCAGTGGATAGAGCGTTTGCCTGCAGACTGAAAGGTCTTGGGTTCGATTATGATCAAGGGCAAAAAAAAAAAAAAGATACACAAGCCGCCTTCGGAAACCTGTGGAAGTAGGAAGAACACTGAACAAGGAGCTAGGAACATGAGATTCTAGCTGGCTCAGCCACCAGAGAGTTCTGTGACCTTGGAAAAGCCATTCAATGTCCCTGGGCTCCATTTTCTGGTCTATGGAACGAGGGGTTTGGACGAAATGAACTTTCCCCCACATCTGTCCTGAATAGCATTCACTTTCATATTTCAAAATGGCCTGAGAAATTTAATTTTCTTGGAGGAGCTCAGTTATACAAAAGGACAATCGTTTCCCAGATGCAGGACTCTGCCAGGTGTTTAATATGCTAATGCGCATTGTTAAGCTCCAAAGGGCAGAGCTGATATATTCAGGATTTTCCAATGCATTTATTTATCAAGTCGATTGTGCGCTGAGCATTTCAGTAAGCAGCAAATCCACAGAGCTTCCTTTGAGAAACACTGCAACAGATAAAATGTCTCCTAATTCTAATATCCTTATTCCATCAGGCTGGAATAGTACTAAGAAAATGGGCATATATCACGTACAAATGACACATGAAAGGGGGAACCGTTTTTGTATTTTTTTTTTATCCACATCTTTATGCTCTTCTTTCTTTCTTTCTTTCTTTCTTTCTTTCTTTCTTTCTTTCTTTTTTTAAATATATTTTATTGATTTCTACAGAGAGGAAGAGAGAGGGATAGAGAGTTAGAAACATCCATGAGAGAGAATCATAGATCAGCTGCCTCTTGCACACCCCCTACTGGGGATGTGCCCGCCACCAAGGTACATGCCCTTGACCGGAATTGAACCCGGGACCTTCCAGTCCGCAGGCCGACACTCTATCCACTGAGCCAAACCGGTTTCGGCTCTTCTTTCTTTTCTTAATGGCACTGCCATTCCTACAGCCAAGCTGGAAACTGGCAGGATTTTAGGGCAAGGTGACCAGACATCCTGCTTTTGGTGGGACAGTCCCGATTTTTAACAATTTGTCCTACATCCTGCGGAATTTAAAAAAAAAAGTCCTAACCCAATTCTAACCCTAACCCATTCATTTCTTCACTCATTGAACAATTCTCTTCAGACACTGGAGAATATAAAACACTAGAGGCCCGATGCACAAAGATTTGTGCAAGAATGGGCTTCTTTCCCCTGGCTGTGGGCACTGCCTTCACTCTGGCCTGAGCCGCCTTTCTGCCTTCCCACGCTGCCCAGAGGCCCTGAGTGGCTGGGGTGGCATGGAACACCTATGTTATCGCCTTGGTGATGACACAAGTGTCCTACCCCCTGCCGCTGGGCACCTGTGCATGCAAATTAACCTGCCATCTTTGTTGGGCTAATTTGCATACTAATTCCTGATTGGCTGGTGGGCATCGCGAAGGTACGGTCAATTAGCATGGTACTCTTTTATTAGTGTAGATGGGTAAGATCCCACAACCAGTCCATTGGTTCCCCCAGTACAGCTCCAGTTTCTCACGAAT